TTATTCAAATGCCTAACTGAACCCTGAGCGGTGAGAAGGCAGCTCAGTGCAGTTCTGTATTTGGTCTCTCAGAGACTGAGTGGCATTTGATGAATGAAGCAAGAATAGCAAACAGGTAAAATTCCATGGTGTCAGTTCAGTTTATAAACTTGACTTTGGGTCATTTCATTCACATATTTGTCAGCATTCTTTTGGTGGGACGTGTCAGAAAACCTGACTGAAACTATTTAAGCAAGAAAGAGAAAGGGGATGTATTCACTCAAACACTGTGACGTCCAGAGACCAATTCAGCATGTTCTCGTGGCATATTAGATTCAGGGATTCAAATGATGATCTCATGGCTATTTCTCTTTTTACGTGTCTTGGCTCTCTTTTTCTCTGTGTTGGTTTCTTTCTCAGCTAGGCTCTTGTCACATGACAGGAAAAATGGCCATCGACAGCCCAAACTACATCCTTGCACTGATGTTTTAAAAGAAAGGAACTCTCCTCTTCCTTGGTATTTACATATCAAATCTCAGAGAAGACTCTGATTGGCCCTGTTTGGATCATGTGCTCATCCCTGAACTAATCACTGTAGCTTTGGACATGGACTACTCTAATTGGCCAACTCAGGTCTCATACCTACACCTATGTGGGGCTGATAAGGCACTAGGTCTGACACTCCCCCTCATCCCACCAGGGCTACAGGAAGGAGGGAGAGGAGTGGTTCTCCAAAGAAAAGAGTGCTGAGGAGAACAACATACATCCACTGTACTCCTCCTCTCCCTAACCGCACCTGCCTCAGCATTTTAACCAGAGAAGTTACCATCTCTTCTCCCTCCAAGCCTTATTGTGTTCGGAAATTAAAAGAGAAGATGCTGGGCTTTCCCAGAAATGGCTGCATTTCTATGGGTGCTGATTTATGCTTAAACCTTTAGACATCTTTTATAAAATTCTCATTGGTGGTTATTGGAAGAGAAGCTGCCCATTCCTAGCTCACCGACTTTTTTCTCAAATATTTCAGCCTTGCATATATGTATACACACATCTATATGTATATATATTCACATATATATGAATTTTTTAAAACTTTAAACCAGACACCTACCCCCTTCACTCCCCCTGCTCCAAATCACTACCATGTAACTTCCCCTCCTACAGGGAAGAGTGTGGGAGGCTGGTTTCTGCTGGTCTCTCCTGGTGGGTGTTTGATTGATCAAAGGAAGAGCAGCAGGAAGAAATCACCATAAACAGGTCTCTGTAATTTCCAGACTATACAATAGCTAGTCTCAATTTCTTGTTTGATTTCATGATACCATCCTGCCCTTCAACCTAAGAATTCTGCATGGCATATGTTTTTGTTCACAGATATTGAGAGGCAAGGACTTGCAAAATCAAATGCCCCCAGGGGCCATGTAGGTGGGTGGAGACTGTGTCAAACTTGGGTGTTTTAAGTCCCATCTCAAGGGGCACCTTATAGAGGGCTCCAGCCCACTGTTGCCATAGGGAGTGCCTGCTCTGGTAGATATTAATTGTTCCTTAATTTCTATCCCTTCTTCCCCATGGTGCGTGGAAGGACTGAGTTTCCTTGACTCTTTGAAATTAAGAATGGCATATGATTTGCCTTGGCCAATGAAACATAACCTAAAGTGATGTGTGTCACTCCAGGAGGAAAGATTTAACTGCTAGTGCGTGGCCTTCTCTACTTCTCTTTCTTTCTCTGCCATGGTGACCATGAATACACTTGTGGATATGGAGATGCAATACTGAGCCATTACCTATAGGACAGCTGTCCTGGGAATCACCTAGATCCACAGTTGTCTTGTGTGGGTGAGAAGTAAGCCTTTCTTGTATTAAGCCACTGAGTTTTGGGGGATGCAGCAAAACCTAGCCAATCTTGACTGTCACATATGCCCAATGTTGCCCGACTTTGATTTTTTTAAGAGAAGTTATAAATCTAGATTATTATGCAAAATCTTTGATATCTTAACAACAAAAAAACCTCCAACAACAATGTAAGATTGAGTCAGAAAAGCCTAATTCAGCCTGCCAGCTACTAGTTTACAATTTTGATCTACACAGCTTGAGTAGAGAATGGAGTGGTAATCCTATCTGAACCCCTACAGTGCATATAGTCTGGGTCATGTAATTAGCTCTTAGCTACTCTTAGTCTTGCTGTTCATTAGTTTGTAAGTCATTCTTTCTAACTAGATGGGAGGTGAGGCCAGGTAAGGAACCATGTCTTAAACTTTGTGTACCTCATAGGCACATAACAGACTGTCAGTAAATACTAGTATGATGACTAGTTGATTGATTGATTACTCACAACTATCACTTTCTCCATTGTTATTAGAGGAACAGGTCTGGGGAACAAATTATTTTACCTCACCATTTCCCTTTTTCCTCTTTGCAAAGCGCTTGGAATTCATTGATGTCCATTAAGCTTTAAAACAAAATAGTCCAAATAAATTAGAGATGCAAAACCCAATGTGTTAATCAGGAATTTTCTTTCTTTCTTTCTTTCTTTTTTTTTCAAGACAGAGTCTCTCTCCGTTGCCCAGGCTAGAGTGCCGTGGTGTCAGCTTAGCTCACAGCAACCTCAAATTCCTGGGCTCAAGTGATCCTCCTGCTTCAGCCTCCCAAGGAGCTGGGACTACAGGCACGTGCCACCACGCCCAGCTAATTTTTTTTTCTATATATTTTTAGTTGTCCAGCGAATTTCTTTCTATTTTTAGTGGAGATGGAGTCTCGCTCTTGTTCAGGCTGGTCTTGAACTGCTGACCTCAAGTGATCCTCCCGCTTCGGCCTCCCAGAGTGTTAGGATTACAGGCGTGAGCCACCACGCCCGGCCAATCAGGAATTTTCTAATTGCAAGTAATAGGAAACCTACATTTAAACTGCCTTAGACTGATCACTTGTCTGTCCCTAAGAGCCAGTAGTAGATCAGCTCCATCCAGCAACTGCAGGGAGAAGCAGGCCAATGTCGGCATAAAGGAGCCACTTTATGGCCTCTCCTTCCAGCCACTTCCAGAGGCAGTGACTATGTAAAGGGGCCTGGTAGGGGGTAATGTGGCTGGAAGGGAGGTCTTGAAGCCATATTCCCATAGCATCCTACATAAAATTGAAAAACATTCATTTCAAATAACGAGGAAGGCTAACGAATATTATAGAGAGGTGAAGGGGGCTAAAGACCCCCCAAGTCACCTCTTGGTGCCACCCCTGTAGCATATTTAATTTGTGGGGGAAGCAAAGGCCCAGTAGGACTGCTGGTGGCCCAGCCACAGTCCATAGTAGGCCCTGGAGAGGACCTGCTCTAACCACACACGCTAATTATTAGTCCCTGCACAAAGATCAGTTTAGTTTATTCAAAGTCCCAGCCGAAGACGCATAAAGGAACATTGCCCCTGTTCAGTGTTTTGTTCCATATAAACATCCAGACCCTGGTCTCCTGGGAGAAACGTCATAAGGCAGTTTCATGGTGCCCGACTTTGATCTTTATGCTGCGGTAAAGGTGTAGTTGGCCTTTCTGGGGCTGAGAGTCGTGTTCTTCCACAAGACTGTCAAATTACCACTCGTTTTTGAATGTATATTCTTTCGGGGTCTTCCTTTCTTCTTACTTGCCAACAGTGATGTTGAGAGGGAGACTGCTGATGGTGAAGGGGAAAACGGTCAGGCAATGTCCTTGGGACTTGGTCTGTCTCTCCTTTCACGCGGGAAGATTTCGCGGCACTGGGGAAACACAGACGATAAAGCCTCTGCACCCACAGAGTGCAGGAGGAGACATGCATGTTGGGGTTTGCTCATTTGCTCCTTTCTGTCTCGAGTCTTGTTTCTTTCACTCTGAGCATCTGCTCTCCAAGAAGGCATGAACTTTTTCTTTCACTTCCTTTCTGCTATGGGCGATGACCTGACATCACTGTAAGAAGGAGGCCAAAGCTCACAGAGTGTAAACATCATCACCTCTATCTGGCTTAGGCAAAAGGTAGGGGGTTGGCTGGGCACCCAGGGCTGTGAAGGTAGGAGATGCCAACCCTGGAGCCACATTGCTGCCTGAGGGCTCTGTCTCTCTGTGCCTTTACATACTGGAGGGCACGGTGGATGTCACATTTCTCCTGGAGTCCCCTTCACCATCGCCTCTCTGGGAGGATGGAAGTCACAATGGGGAAGAAGGCCACTTGGGGTTTGCCGAGGACTTGGTCTGCTCACTGGTGTGTCCTGAGTGGAAAGGAGAAGCCCGCTGGGGCAGGGCACAGGCCAGGGGTCAAACTACGGCAGCTGCAGAGAAAGCGGTGGTCTCAGGCTGCAGCCGTAGGAGACGGGAGGCTGGTGCAGCTGTGCCGCATCAGGGCTCAGGGGCGCTTGCGGTGGCCGGCGTATAGGCAGGGGCAGAGGTCCCCAAATGCCTTAATCCTCTGCCCATCCTTCTCCACGGAAATATTACACAAACTGGCGAGATTGCCCCCTCACCCACTCGGTCCTGGAGAGTCCAAGGATGAAATTGCGCTGAAATTCTCTCTCTCTCTCAGTTTGGGGAAAAGCGCCCCGGCCTGAGGAAGATGGTCACGGCAGGCCACGCGCTAAGGGGCTTTGGACTGTCCCGCAGCCGCCCCCTCGCATCTCTCTCCCAGGGCTGCGGCTGTGCCTGGCGGGTGCGAGCCGGCGGCGGGGCGCGGGGGGTGCTCTTACATAACCGCTCGCCGCGTCCTGCTTTCTCGCGCGCTCCTGAGCCGCGGGGTGGCAGAGCCGGGGGACTGGATGGAGCCCGCGCGGGCGCTGCGGGGCCGGGGCCGCCGCTGCGGGGAGAGGAGCGCGCGCGGCGGCGGGAGGAGGGCGCCGAAGGCGGCGGGGGAGGTGAAGGTCAGTGGGTGTGAAGCGCCGGATCCACACCCCCTCCTCCCTGTCCCCTCCTTCCCTTCCTCTCCGTCCCCCTCTGACGTCTGGAGCTGGCAGCTCGGCCGGTTCCGCATTCCCGACCCCTCCCCGCCGCCCAGGGGCCGCTATATAGCCGGGGCTGATGCAACCGGTCCCGCGGCCCGCCACAGCCTGCGGGAGGGACGCTCGGCGGCCGCGACGGGGGGCGCTGGCGGCGGCGGACGCTGCAGCGGCGGCGGGGCTGGCGCCGCGGCGGCTCCCAGGCCGGGACGGGCCTGGGCACCGGGCGGAGCTCCGCGGCCGGGCGGCAGCGGCGCGGAGTGGGCACAGCGCCTGCAGCCGGGCCCCGGCCCCGGGGGCGCCGCCTCCGCCCGCGGCTTCTGCACGGTGGGTGCCAGGGCGCGCGGGGGGCGCCGGGCGGGGCGGGGCGGGGCGCGCCGGCCATGGGCACCTGGGACAGCCGCCCCCGCGGAGCCCCGGAGCCCGGCCCCGCGGGGAGCTCGCGCGCCCCGGGACCCCCAGCTTTCTCTGCGCGGGGCGCCGCAGCCTGGGCCCCTCCCGCGAGGCGGCTGGTGGCTTCCCTTTGGTTCCCTCCCGGGGACTAGAGGCTCCGTCCGCTCCTTGGGCAGCCGGGCGCTCCCTTCTTCTCCCTCCCGCGCTCTTCTCCCCCGTCGGTTTGCAGGGAGGTGCTCTCCTCGGGCGGCGGGGAAGGCGGGGTGAGTGGGGAGAAAACTGCCCAGGGAGACGGGCCGCGGGGTGGAGATGGAGGGTGAAAGGCCAGGAAGATGCGGGGGGGCGGTGGTGGAGGGATGACAAGGACCTGCTGGCAACTCGTGCCCCCTCTGCCTGCCTCGCAGGGAGGAAGCACAGCTCCTGGAGGACCCGGACCGGGAGGAGGGTATTGAGAAGGGCTCGGGGGTTTGATCCAATGAAAGGAGCTTCTCTCCCGGCCATTGCTGTGGGATTCTGGGCTGGGAAGGGGCCTGGGGGTGCCCAGGGTCCCCTTTGGTCTTCCCTGTCTCCCACGCCAGGTTACATAAGGAGGCATTCCGGCTCCTCTAGGTAACCAGCCTCTCCCCTGCCCATCCCAGTTTAGAAGGCTCTCTTCTGCCCTTCCCCTCAAAGAAGGCTGGGGGGATTGGCCGTTCCCCCTGGACCCCTGGACCCTGGGGTGGCAGAGCCAGACTTTGCCTGAGTCAGTGGGAGGAGCGGGGAAAATGGGGAGGCTTTGGCTCTTTTGCAGGGATGGATGGGCCATCTGTGAGGCTAGAGATGGAGAGGCTGGTGGAAGGGGAAATCAACTGGCCCTTTGGGTCATCTCCAGTTGCAAGATTGCCTGACCCTTGCCCATGTGCCACTCTCCCTAATGGCATCCAGAGCATGGGGCTATGGCCCCAGCACATGTTCTCAGAGCAGATGTGCTCAGCTCTGTGTCTCAGAAAGGGCTTGCAGACTGTACAGGTTTGTATATCCAGGTTTGAATCTTGGTGGACTCTCCCCAGGGTCTTAGTTTGAGGAGCATCAGGAACTGTGAAGCTTCGAACCATGTTTGGGTACCTTTGTACTCAAATGTCCTTTAAGTCCTTGCTAGGAACTGTGTTCACATATCATTTCCCTTCCCCCTAATCTCCCTTCCCTGCGGGTTTTAAAAAACACCTCCCATTGCTTTTACCTTTCCAGCAAATCTGGTTGCAGCTTGGATGGATGTCTTATCTTCCTTTGCAGGTTTCTAGGGGAGAGTTTAACCAGGTATCAGGTGTGAGCATGGCTCTGATTTTACATAAACCTGAGGACCAGGGAAGAGAAGCAAGATCTATTCTCATGCCTCTGGGTGGTTAAGGTTTTGCCTTGTTTAAAACAGGGAGGATGGATTTCTCAAAGACTCTTCTGTTCCCCTTCTACTTTGGCTTTGGTTCAGAGCTTCAGGCAGCTCCAGAATCTTCCTGAAGAGCTGGGTGCTATATGATTTGAAGGGCTGCAGGAAAGCATGGGTCTGTAGGCCTCTGACTTTCTTCTATCTTGGTTGCAGCCACCTCCAAGGAGATGTGTCCCTAAGTGCTAACAGTGTCCCCTAGGAAGGGTTTGGATAAGGGTCTCCCCATGCATCCATTGCCTAGCTTTTGTAGCCATCAGGGAAAACTCTTCTTGTCTCTGTGGGTCTGCTGTTGTCTTCCCACCTGTTTGCAGGATGTGTGGGCATCTTTTCCAACCTGCGGGATCCTTGGCAGGGCTAGGCTCTCCGGCCCTGTTTGTCTGGGGGCTACTGGTGTTGCAATGGGCTGTCTCTCTCTTGAGTGTCTGTTTCTGGCTCCACTCTGGAAAGGAAGGGTCCAATTGCAGACTCCACGCTGGCCTGCTCTATATTCATTCAGCCCCGGCTCAACTTGAGCAATCAGAGCCAGGGTTGAGGGCAAGCTACATTCTTTTCTGCTTTTCTGCTGCAGGATGCAGTTTGCTTTTTTTCCATGCGAATGAATTATGTTTGAAACCGAAATGGGAGGAAGAGAAAAATGGAGTGAGTGTGTATGTGTATGTGCGCGCATACCTACATAGGCTGGGGGAGAGCAGCAGGCACATTATTTTTCCATTTTCCTTTAATTAAGGCTCTGTGGAGGTGTGTTTGAAAACAGAGGGTCTCCTATGCCTTTGAGGAGGGTGAGAACACTGTTTTGGCTGCGTCCCGGGCCATATGCAGCGTATGGTGGCCAATGAAACCGGGCCTGGCTCGTTCTGTTGCTTGTCTTGGCAGTCGGTTCGGTGGCTTGTGTTACCAGCTCTGGAACTTAGGGGCTGCCAAGCTCCGTGTGCCTGTGTGTATGTGTGTGTGTGCGTGCGTGTGCACACAGTTGTGTGTGTGCGTGTGTGCCTATGTGTGTGCATGTGTGTGTGTGTGTGTGTCTGTATGTGGTTTGGCCTTTCAAAACTCAGCAGAGACAAATGCCTTGGCGACCCAGTCTTGGAATTTTCAGACTGTGTTTCTTTACACTTACTGCTGGCTGTGGGAGGCCCAGCCAGAGCCCACCATACTTGTTATTGTTGTTGTTTTAGTCTCTTTTCTTGTTACAGCCCATGGGATTCAGTTGTGGAACTCCATTCCCAAAGCTTTAGCTGGCCAGTGGCATTTTTACAAAGGACCAAAGCAGTTGTCACGCTCTGTGTGGACGTCTGTGCTATGTGTGGTACCATTAACCCCTGCCACCAAGGACCAGAGCTGGGCTGAGGCAGGAAGAGAGGACAGAAAGCTTGTCCAGTGGCAGTACTTTCCTGGCAAAAATGACTTCATGTGTATTTCTTGAGCACCTATGTTAGGCAGAGGACAAAGCTGTGTCTATAGGCAGGGTCTTGTTGGAAGCATTTCTCTGGTCTCCCAGGAAGAGCAGGAGTCCCCTAGGGGAAAGTTGCAGGTTCTTCTTTGGCTGGGATGGCCATGCAGGGGTCATGCCTGCTGTGTGCAGTGCCTTCTCCGGAGCCCAGCCATCCCTCATCGCCTTCTTATGAAGACCCAAGGAGTGACCCCTTCCAAACAGCACAGGGATGGAGTAGATTGAGGGACACAGAAGATGCTGGTCCTCTGCTTCTGGGGCCGGAATGGAAACCCAGCCTGTTGGTGGTGCCTTGTTGCCAGTGGTCTATGCAGCTGTGTTCTCGCCTGCAGGGTAGAGGAGAACTTAGAATAAACTGAGACAAAGCGCAGGTGCTGGGCCCCATTTCTGTACCTCTGTGCACAGCCCTGACCTCGCACCCCTTGTTTCTATTCTGCAGTTAACTGTCAGGATGCAGGATGGCACTACACCCTTGGGATGCAGAGCTGGAAAGTGAGAGAGCAGAGAATCCTTTGAGGAGAATCCTCCTAGTGGCTATAGGAAAGGGAGACCACTGTTAGTGGGAATACTCCAGAAGGGAGCTTGAGAGATCATGCAGCACCAGCGCCTCTCCAGGAAGGAAGGCCCCTGTGGCTACGCTGACTTCACACTCACTATGTGCAGGCGCTGTTCCAGGTACTTTCCAGGCATTAACTCAGTTAATCCTCTCAGCAGCCATCCAGGGCAAATAACACTGTTATTCCCACTTTACAGCTGAGGAAAGTGAGGTGCAAAGAGATTAGGGAACTGGCCCAAGCTCCCATAGCTGGTAAGGGGCAGAGCTCGGATTCACACGCAGGCGATTGGACTCCAAAGCTCCCTCTCTTACCCCACCTCCCAGCCCTGCCCGCAGAACTGGGGACAGCCAACATTCTCAGTCTTGGGACTTTCTCCATCCTCTTGCTCCTCACCTCCTGGATCTCCTTGTCTTTTGGAAGCTGGTTGACCTACATTATTCAGTTTCCAAGAGAGAGGTCATCCTGGATGACTCTGCAGCTCCAAGAAGAAGTTTGTTGTTTAATTCTCCAAGATTTGTGATAGCGGGTACTACGCTCTATGATCACTCGCCCGGGACCATTCTCCTCTCCTGCCCTCGGCATCCTCTTGTCTCCTGGGAATCTTCCTGGGTGCTGGCTCCCAAGACCTCCCACTCTTCTTGCCGACTCTCAGTTGCCACGCCCTGTCCTTGACTTCCAGCCCCACCATTGCTCCTGGGGCTTGCGCCTGTAACCCTCCCCACTCCTTGACTTGACGCTTTCTCTTGCTCCAGGCCTTGAGCCTCAGGCCATCTGCACCCACATGCACACCCATTCCTGGTTCCTGATGCCAGCCCAAGCCAGCTGCTTGCCTGGAGGGGACCTAACCTTCTCAAAGAGGCCCAGGGATTGTATAGCCTCCCTTAAACCATTGTTTCTATGGACATGAAGTCCATGATGCCGATCCTAAGTTTCTCTTAACCTGCCTTTTTATTTTTATTTTTTCCTTCACCTGTCTTTGCCATTCTGGATGAAGATACTGACTACTGGCCACTTTCTAATAAGACTATCCCTTTCTAAGTTTGACCCATCAAAGCAAGACCGTTATTTATTTATAGAGACTCCCATGAGAAAAAGATTTAAGGTGTCCTGCAGATTTACGTACAGCAAAGAAGAGAAGAAACTAAGAGGGAAGTTACGGCTACCTTTTTTCTTTGGGCTGAAATGACTCTTCATGTGAATATCTCCCAGGAGGGCCCATTTTCTGGACTTGAGATGTTTTGTGGCTTTTCTTCTGCTTTGCCGTGCCCAGACTGTGTGCCTACGAATCCCCGAGGAAGTCAGAGTAGAGAGATACAGATAGCAAATCCTTTCTTCAAGTTCTTTCCCTGTGGATCCATCTGGTCCCTGTTTTCCTTAAGCTGGCTTATCTCGGGCTCCACAACAGCTTAGGGTGGACTGACCTTCTGAACCCTTTCTGTCTTATTCGTGCCTTGCTAGCCAGTCCCCATCTCGGACTTGTGCACGACCCAGCTTCTCTTCGTTGGTTAGCTTCCAGCTGATTCCTAGTCAGTGTCCCAAATTGCCAAAGTTCCTTTGGACTCCAGGCCTGTGTTTTGAGGCACAAGCCCTGTTTCCCGATTTGGATGTTCTGCCAACGTAAGGCGCTAGCTCGCTGTTTACGCGCCCCAGTCACTAATGGGGTGCTTATCTGCCTTTCAGACCTCCTGGGCTTTGAAGGGAAAAAACTCCGGGTTCTTCTCCTAAAGCTTTTAGTGAGTACTTCTCCTTTTCCTACTCAGTTGTTTCCGTATGGAACAGCCAGGCTGGGAGATGATTTCACCTCTTGTCATCTCTCCTAAGTCTCTCTCAAAGTGGGTAAATTCCTCCTGGCTCTCATGTGTTCCTTGCCGCCACCGCTGCCACCACCACCCCTTTTTTTAATAGATCGCTAAATCACATCAAATTGTTTGATTTTTCAAATCACCAAAGTTGCCCTTCAGCCTTAGATGGTCAGCCAGCTCCTTGCCGTTAATGAGGATCCAATTACGAAAGGCAGCTCGCTCCTCCTCGGTCTCCCGTCCCCCACCCCCAGAGATGCTTAGGATGACTTCTCGCTGGCGAGTGTCAGCTGTTGTGGTTGTCTCCTAGGGATGGCGGGGTTAAGGACTTTGTGGTTTGTATCTGAGCAGTTAGGGGCTCCCTTGTGGCGGAAGGAAAGAAAGGAAGATCTCTGCTTCTCCAAACGAAAGCCTGGCGCCTGGTCCCCTGGGGGAGGCTTGTCACTGGGATGGATTCACAGGGGAGCAAGAATGGCAAGAATTTGTGGGGCCACTGCTCCCAGGGGGTGGCACCTCTCCAGGGGGTTCCACAGTAGCAGATAATTCATTATATTTGGGGATCATTTGTTAGTGTCTCATTTATACCGTCTGTATGAAGATAAACAGAAGCTGCACGCAGACACCATCATTCCTGGAACGGAGTGGGGTCTGGCTTCCATCTCCTGGAGATGACTTAGGCAGGGAAACACACAGAAGCTTCTGGAATATTTTTCTTGGGGTGTACTGTGGGAATGAATATACTGGAGATGGAATGATGGCCTGGCAACGAGCATCTAAGCTTCCAGAGACAGATTTTTATGCCACTTGCAGAATCTTGCTCTGTCGTGAATTTATCATTTGTTTGTTTATTCATTCACTTATTTATTCAACAAGTATTTATTGATTACCCTTTCTGTGCCAGAAATGGTACTAAGCACTGGAGGCACCTGGGCAACACCCATCCATGACTGCTGCTGGCCACTGGAAGTCACCCCTTCGCTTGCCGAGTGGCCACACGGTTAGTTAGGCCCAGGCACAGTTTTGCCACATAGGAATGGGTTCTTGCCCTGACCCCTTTCCTGTTCTCCATAGAGAAGGGCAGAGGGGAACATGCAGCTCCTTCATGGTGCCCTGGAGCAGCCTCCTGGTGCGGCAGCCTGCAGCCCTCTCTGCGTTGCAGGCTCAGTTCCAGGGCGTGGAGAGGGGCTCTCTTGCTGCCCCTGGACTCTGGTCCAGCTCAGGATCTGGGAGCATCATAGCACATAGAGCACTCACATGTGAGAAGTCTCAGGGGCCATTTCTGTGTCTGGGCTCCCGCTCAGGCTGTCTGGATTATTCAGGGAACTTCTTCAACCTGGATCTCTATGAGAGGCAGAGGGTCCACTGTGGAAGAGAAGGACCCTCTACCATGGGCTGGTGTCTGAAAGTCCACCATGGAAGGTTATTCCTTCTGCCAAAGGCATCAACACCTCTTCCACCCTAGGTGGGGAAACAAAAAGGGCAGAGTTGGAAAGCTTTGGTCCTAACATCCAGGGACCAGGAGTCGCCTGGTTCTGTCCCTCTTCATCTATGTGATATTGAGTGGGTCATTTAACCTCTTTGAGCTTCAGCTTTCTCATCTCAAAATGAGGATATGGTTTGGGTGAGCACAGGGCCTCCTTTAGCTCTAAGACTGTAACTCAATGTGATTGAGTCTCAGATCCTTTTCTGAGATGGCCCAGGGCACACTGGGTGCTAAGGAGTGGGAGAAGGGATGTGGGGTGGGAAGGAGCCGCTGAGGGGACCAGGTGTGGGAGATGTAGTAGGTGGAACACACATGAAAGAGCTGCAGGGGCCGGGCACAGTGGCTCATGCCTGTAGTCCTAGCACTCTGGGAGGCTGAGGCAGGAGGATCGCTTGAGCTCAGGAGTTTGAGACCAGCCTGAGCAAAAGCAAGACCCCTATCTCTACTAAAAGTAGAAAAATTAGCTGGGCGTAGTGGCGCAGGCCTGTAGTCCCAGCTACTCGGAAGGCTGAGGCAGGAGGATTGCTTGAGCCCAGGAGTTTGAGGTTGCAGTGAGCTATGATGATGCCACTGCACTGTAGCTGGGATGACAGAGCAAGACCTTGTCTCAAAAAAAAAAAAGAAAAGAGCCTGGGGACACCAAATACAAACTTTGGTGCAAGGCTGGGAGCTATGGGCAGATGGCTTCCTGGGCACATGTGGCAGGTGTTCTGAGGATGAACTGGCAGGACCAATGTCCATTACCATGTACCTTTCTTTAAACAAAGTGATGTCCAATGGAAGCCTTTGTGGTTTGCGGGTGCAAATTACTTGCATGCTTTCCCCCTGGGAGTGCAGAATCCATTGAGAAGTAGACACTGGACTTGGACAGGGAACTGAATTTCACTGTCAAAAGTGAATGGAGATGGAGAATGTGGCTGTGCTTGTGGCCAAAAAGGGCTCATCAATGCTCTTCTCTTGAATGATCTAGACCTGAGAACATGAATGGGGGCAGGTGGTTGTGGGTCACCCTCCAGGGCCACTCCTGCAGGAGGCAGATAGCCCAAGGACAGAGTGGCCCAACAGAGACACGTGGTCTGACGGACAGCAGATCAATCTCCCATCTTGCCAAATGCATCTCCCTCCATGGGCAGAGACAGTAGAGATGGAAGGTAGGCTGAAGATTTTCCCTCAGGATTTCTAAGACCCTGGGGCTTTTGATTTTATGGCCCTGAGCAGAAAGGTGAGAAGAAGGAGAAATGATTTTCTTTACAGGACTCAAATCCAGGAGCAGTTTTGTACCAAAATGCTACTTAAATGCTGCTTAGAAGCTAAGATAGTGCACATTTGACCTCCGTATTCCTAAGGCCTGCTGGCTTATAGTAGGTGGTCAGTGACCAGGTGGATCGATAGGTAGGAGCCCTTTAAGGGACTAGATGGCTTTACTGGCAGCCCAGCTCTCTTCACTGCCATCTGAGCCTTGAGGTGACCGTTTCTTCACCCATGAGCTTCCCCCAGTAAAGGGAAGGAAGAAATAAGAACTCCCTTCATGTTGACTTAATTGGTGGCCTTTCGGGGCTGAATCTGTCTTCCCTTGTAGACCTTTCGGGTCTGGCAGAGCTAGAATATGTGTTTGCTCTGAGAATGAAGAAACCATGAAGAAATTTTCTGATACTGGGTTCCACCGGGAAAGCACAGACTAATTAATTCCACCTTCCTTGCCTCAGTCTCTTCCTCGTAGATGTCAGACACGCACACACACACACCCTCTCTCTCCCTCTCTCTTTAACTTAGATTTGCTTTCATCTCCTATTCAGGATGTCTTAACAAGTATGCAGAATAGGATGTCTGATTTGAGGGGAGGCACCACGCCAGACCAAAAATAGCTCCCTCTTAAACAGGTGCAAAGGTGCTTGAGATTCCACCATTATCATTCGCTCTCTTTAGGGGCTGTCTGTTGCCAGTTAAATCCCAGCTCCCCCAGTTTTAACCGTGTATAACCTTGAGGGAGTTATCTTTCTAAGCCATGGCTTCTACCTCTGTATAATGGTCTCTGGTCTGGTCTAATGGGGCTGGTGGAAGGATTACCTGGTGCCCAGCACACAGCAAATGCTGAGTCAATGTTGCCTATGATTGTAAAGTATTGTCTTTAAAAAGAAAAAAGGAAAACATTTCTGGCAGTGGCAAGGATGACCTTGGTGTGGATGAATCGATCAAGTTTTCCTCTGTAACAGGAAGGACTTAAGGGCAGGAAGAGCAACTGGGTGGGGAGGGGATTCAGGGGAACGTTGGCGAAGAAAGCAGCAGGTCCTGGCAAGGGTTGGGGGATCAAGCCCTCCTGGAGTCCCTACCTGCTGACTGTGCCTGTCCTGTTCTTCTTTCGCCCACTCCAGGCTGGCCTGCCGCTCCTCCTGCTATGATGCCTGGGCAGATCCCAGACCCTTCTGTGACAGCGGGCTCTCTGCCAGGGCTCGGTCCCCTCACCGGACTCCCCAGCTCTGCCCTGACTGCAGAGGAGCTGAAATACGCTGACATCCGCAACCTCGGGGCCATGATCGCACCCTTGCACTTCCTGGAGGTGAAACTGGGCAAGAGGCCCCAGCCCGTGAAAAGTGAGGTGAGCAGAGCATCTTACCCCAGGCAGAGTCCTGGGGTCAGAGACCTGGGTTAGAGTCCCAGGTCTGGCCCTAAACCTGCCGTGGTACCTTGGCCTTGCTGTTCAAAGTGTGATCTGAGGACTGACAGCGTCCATGCCATCCCAAGGCTTGTTAGAAATGGGCAATCTCGGCCCCACCGTAGACCTTCTGAGTAAGAATCTGCATTTTAAAAGATCCCAAGGGATTCATGGACGCAATAAAGTTTGAGAAGCACCGGGCTAAGACCAGGTGCTTAACCTGTGTCTGGTTCTTCCAGGGGCGGGGAAGAGTGATAATGACAACAGTAATGAATGATAATGTGTTGGCAGTCTCTCTGGGGTGGTGGAAGATCAGGCCAGATAATGGAAATACGCACATGTTTTGAAAAATATACAAAGGAATGCCAATATTGGGTTATCTTTAAAAATTGTCATTGTTAGTCACATCATGGCCTCCACCCCTCTTGGCCCCTGTCTGTAGCTGAACGAGGGAGCTTGGAAGAAGAGTGGCGTGGCTTCCCTTCCTAAGCAGCCGTCAGCATCGTCTGCCTTAGATGGTTGTTTGCAAAGGACCCACCTGTGGAGCAGCCCCTGCTCAGGTCCTCTGCACCGCAGCTGTCGCCAGCCCTTTCCTTGGGGCACTGCTGAGCAGCAGAAGTCCCCAGCGTGGCAGAGGATCAGTGCAGGTTATGCCCCCAGCCACTTGCCCAGGGCTGGCCATTTGTCCAAAGGCTTGCCCCGGGAAGGGAGAAGGATCCCATGGTGGGAGGTGGAGAGGAGGCTGGCAGGGAGGCGTAGGGTGTGGGAAGCAGCTGAGCACCAGGTGCTTGGTGGCTCTCCCTGCGGGGAGCATTCACAAAGGTGTGCCTCGGTGTAGCTCAGAGGGCTGGAGAGAGGGATTCTTGAATGGAGAAGGCTGTCTGGGTACTGACAGGGGAGAGGGGAGAGTTGGGGATATCATGCAACTGCTTCTCAGTTCCCCTTCTTCCCACGAGCACCATGAAAGCTGCAGAGAAGGCCTGCCGGGGGCTTGGCAGGGGTGGCATACCGGCCGTTTGCAGGCTGGATCTGGCTCTCAGATGTGTTTTGTTTGGACAGCACAGTGTTTTAAAAGAAACTCAAACCCCCATTTCACTTGAAAATTTTGATTAAAAAATTGGAAGATCTGGGCCCACACTGCCCTGTTCTGGCGTGGCAGCGGCTAAATGGAACGACGGAGCCACCTCACTTTTTTCTTGTCTACAGTTTGCCACAGGCGCCTGCACCTCCCTATTATTCTTGATCCTACTTCCACTGTTGGTTTTGCTTTTGTTACCACCAGCTGCCTTCCTTTACCTCCACTGCCTGGTCCCTGCTGTGGCCACCTGTACTCAAAACACCTGCATTAGGCACATCGTAGCTGCCCACTAAGGACTGTTGATTACAAGATGAGAGTTGACTGTGATTATATTCTTCTGAATTGATCTTGTAAATCAACGTGCTGTCGATAGCACTTCCTGGCTTATTTAGCGTTGTGTTTTCTTTGTGGAGGACTCTGGTCTTTTGCCCCTGTGCTAGTCACCTTCCTAGGCCCATGACTTGAAAGCATCTGTTTCTGGGCCATTCCACAGTATAATTGCCACTGAGAGCCAGCAGCTAAGCAGTTTCACGGGGTGTAAACAGCCAGGTGCCTTGGGCGGGGGTTTGCCCAGCTGGGGTTTGCCTGGGGCGCTGAGTTACCACCTCTCTCTGCAAAAGACACTGAAGGAACTTTCCTTTTCTTTGGAAAAGGCCTTTATTTGGGTTGGGTATTTTTACATTTTACAGCCACCCCCAAATTGGTGGCATCTGCCCTGTACCTGCCAGTGACGTGCTGTCCTCGCAGGCACCCACAGACGTGCACCATCCAGGCCGTGAAAATAACAAGCCGTTTTTAGGGCCTATTTGCATGTCCTCTCCCTCGCTGTCAGACTGCAGTTGTTGTGGGGGCGGAGAGGCAGATGGAGAGGCGAGGAACAAGGATCATGCTGGCGCAGCGGGAGGCCCGCCCTGCACTGGGAACCGACCTCCAAATGCTTCCTAAGTCAGACCCCAGGGGCAGGGGGGACCTGATTTTTGGAGCATCTAAAAACCCAAGGGGGTGGGGAGAGAAACTTGCAGCTGAAGAACCTGTGTTGAAAAGATGCATTTGCATAGGGCAAACTGCCTTTAATGGATTTTCCCGTCAGCATTTTAGACTAGTAAAAGTTTCTTAAATAATACTAGCTCACATTTATTAAACATTTAATACGTACCAGGCCGTGCGCTAAGTGCTTAATATGCATGGTCTTGTTTATTCCTTACCCAGTCCTGGTGACCAGGTTACTCCCCTATTAGAGAAGAGGAATTCAAGGTCTAGGGAGGAGGTTCAGTCACTCAGGGTCATGCTGCTGGAAAGTGGCAGCACTGGGGCCTGGGTGCCAATGACGTTGCCGCTGCTCTAACAGCCATTTCTCACTTGTGCTGAGCTAAGCACCAGGCACGGTACTAGGCACGCTTTGTGAAGTACCTCACTTGAACCCTATGAAGTAATTGTTGTTGTCATCGTTATACCCACGTTACAGATGAGGTCCACAGGCTTAGAGAGGTCCAAGGTCACCGGCTGGGAAATGAGCCCAGGCAGTCTGACTTCAGAGCCAAAGCTTTAACCATGTGCTGTGCTGCCTCCTTCCCTCACTAGACCCCTTCCAGGCGTCTAACCAGAGTTCTGTTGGGCTGGGGAGGCCAGATGAACCTGAACCTGGCCCCCAAGAGCGCAGGCCAAGCCACTGTGCAGGCGGCTGTGTCAGGGCTGGCTCGGGGCTGTCCACCTTGCAGAGGCCAGCAGTCTCCTGGGCCGGGTCCAAATGCACAAAGCAGTTAGTAAAGGAAAACTGGAGGAATTAAGTTAAACAACAGGTTTTGTGAACTATAAAGCGCTTTGTGTTGCTGTCGTTGTTATTATATAGGTGACTCATAGTGTTAAACTGTCTTGGTGCCAACTGCTTGCCTGCAGTCCATTTGTTCACCTGATATTTGTTAAGCACCTACTATGTGCTGAGCACTGTGCCAGGCACTGGGAACTGAACTACGAACCAAGGGGACAAAATCCCACATCTCTTGGGGCCATATATTGTAGTGAGGGCGTCCAGAGATAAGCAAGTTAATACGCGATATAAAAGGGCAGGTAGTGTCAGCACCATGAAGAAAAATTAACTGGAGCAAGGGGGTGGACAGTGGCAGGACTGCTCAATTTCATGGTCAGCCGGGGGCTCTGGGGACATCATTTCCTGGGTCATGTTAGAGCTGTTCCTTCTTTCTTGCCTCTTTCTTCTTCTTTCCTTTCCAGTATTCCTTTTCAAGACAGCTTTGCCCTCCGGCTTTCTCAAGAGCTTTCCTTTCTCCGTTTTTCATTCTGCTGTCCCTATTGGCCTGAAGATCTTGGCCCTTCCCGCCGGCAAGCAGGCTGCTGTGGCTATGGTGGCCACACCCTGCCTGTGGGCCTGGAATGAGTTTTCAGTTGGGAGGGGAGGGAGGCCAGAGGCCCCACCCCTGCACACACATACACCCACCAAACTCTCACTTAACAAGCAACCTGCCAGATGGGACCCCTCACCCCCTGGGCCACTCTGCAGTGCCCTAGAGGGGACTCAAGAATTCAAGGGAGGCTGGACTGGATGACCTGTTAACAAAGGAGTCAGCCTACAGATGAGTCTTGTTTGGCCCTCACAGTGTGGTTTTCTTTTTCTTTCTTTCTTCTTCCTTGTTTTTGTTAAATTGAATGAATCGCTATATTTAAAAGCCAGGAAATGTAGACTTTCTTTCTTTCCTTTTTTTATTTTTGTTTTTGAGACAGGGTCTCTCTCTGTTGCCCCGACTAGAGTGCAGTGGCATCATCATAGCTCACGGCAACCTCAGACTACTGGGCTCAAGCGATCCTCCTGCCTCAGCCTCCCAAGTAGCTGGGACTACAGGTGCGCATGACCACACCTGGCTAATTTTTCTATTTTTTGTAGAGACGGGGTGTCACTCTTGCTCAGGCTGTAGACTTTCTTACTTCTTTTAAAAAACCAGAATATCTAGTCACTCAAGGCCACACCCTTATATGCAATAAGAGGCTGGGGCTGAGGAGCAGATGCTGTCTGTACTAGCATGCTGTCTTTAGTTCGCCAAAGTCTCCACTGCTCCCTGTTGCCTTACACCCAGCCCACTTCACAGTATCTGTGCCATCAGTCTGTGTGTGAGTTTGTGTCCCATGTTTAGGTCCCATGGACATGGACTACATCGTACATTTCTTTTTACTTCTACCAGACTCTGTTCAGTGCTTCACATGGATTGTACATGTCTAATACTTGCTAGTTGGTTTGAACATTATTAGCGGTGTCAGCTTGGCAAGTCACATAAACTTTCTGTCTCTTGATTGCTGTTTCTCTCAATTCCTACCTCCAAGCATTGTTCGTTAGTTTTCTATTCCTGAATTTAAGTGGCTTCAGGCAGAAAAAAAGAGAACACAATGAAAATCAAACCAACCATTCCCAGCCTTGGCTGATCATCAAAACAGCTTGGGAAACTTCTTAAAAATATAGATTTTTCTGACCCTACCCCAGGCTCACGGAATCGGAATCTCCGAGAGTAGAGTCCGGAGAGTCTGTGTAGTTAGTAGGCTCAGAAATTCCCCAGCTGCATTTGGGAACGTGACTCTAAACTGTTTGTACGTCTCCTCAGGCTCCTCCGATCCTTGTCAGGGAGCATTCCAAGGGTTTCGCCTTGAGGAGTCAGTGAATGTCGCATGCCACCATGGACTGTCCCTTCCAACGTGGTGCAGTTCCCTGCACGTATTCCAGCTGGTCACCAGATCCACGTCCTCGTTATTTTCAGCGCAGGAGAGGACACTTAACTGTGGATTTCACATTGGTAATGTTCCACCTTCTCCAGGACACTTGGAGAACATTAGAGGGTTTTCACCTTTGGATGAAGGGTGAATT